CTTCTTCTTCTTCTTCAATTTCAAACACCTCGATGAGGTGATTTACTTCTTTTTCAACACATTCTTCTTCTTCATACTTGCAGGAATCCACCCAAACTTTGTGTATCGAAATATACACCTGTTGATCCGGGATGGATAGAGTCGATGCCAATTTAGCCAGAGCGTCAGCTTGCCCATTCTCTTTCCTTGGGACATATTCAATAGAGACATCCCCGAGCAACTCAATGAGTGCCTTAGCATACTTTAAGTAAGGCATTAGTTCTGGTTTCTTCACTTCAAACTCTCCAGTGATTTGATTTACAACCAGCCTGGAATCCCCGTATACTTGAAGTTGGCGTTGCTTCTGTAGAGAAATATTTGGCGTCCGCAAAGTGTGACTCGGCTTCTGCATATGGCTTTGTGTCTCCGAGAACTTTCTTTGTCACTCCATTTTGAGTGTATTTGAAGCTTGGTGCCACGTTGATGGAACTACACCATTCTCATGTATCCATGGTCTTCCCAAAAGAACGTTGAAAGATGTCTTTGCGTCTATCACGTAGAACAAAGGGTTAGTTTCCATTTCATCGATTAAAAGTCTCAATCTTATGGTGCCAAGTGCTCTCTGCCCCTCTTGATTGTATCCATGTATTGTCATACGACTCTCGAACAACTGATCTACTGGTATTCCCAATTTTTGCAATGTGTATAGAGGAAGGACATTGACTGCAGCTCCTCCGTCTAAGAATATCCGATTAATCCTTTGTTCATGGATATAACCCACGACCAGTAATGGACGATTATGGGGTTTGGATCCTAACACCAAATCTTCATCGGTGAAAGTTATCGTGGCACATTCTTCACTCGATTTGTCTCTGATCGCCTTGCCACCTTTCTCGGTAATGAGACAATATGATTCTTTGTCTTTTATGTCAACTTCGAGAGACCCGAACATGATTGAAGTGACATTAACAGAAACAGAATCGTCTTCAAGGGTGATCTTTTCTTCATGAGCCAACTCCATGACTTTGTCTTTAAAGATGAAACAGTTATGGATGGGATGTCCTACGACACGATGGTATTTGCAATATCTTAGGTCATCAACCTTTCCAGCTTCCTCCGGTCTTTTTGAATTCGGAAGTTCAATAAGGTTTTCTCTGAGTAGATCGTCAAAGATTCCCGAGACGTCAGAATCCAGGAAAGGATAAGTTTTGGATTGCAACTCTTTAAGAGTTGGCCTTGGCGGTCTTTCTGTCTGAGTTGATTGTCTTTTCCTTGCAACTTCCTTTTCTTTACTTTGGATCTTCATAGGTGCTTTGGTCGTCGCTTTTATGGCCAAGGCTTCTTTTCCAAAAGACTTGATAGGGGCGTTGTTCCCCTTCTTTGTGGCATTATATCTTTCGTATCTTTTTGCTTTTGAAGATTCTTGAACTGGTGGTCCGTGCATCCCGCTTGAAGCCATACTTAACTCCATGTCATGAGCGCGGGTAGCAAGTTCTTCGAAAGTGTGGGGTCGGATCCCTTGCAGGATGTATTTCAACCCCCAGTGCATTCCTTGGACGCACATCTCTATACCGGAGGCCTCAGACAACCGGTCTTTGCAGTTCAAGCTGAAACTCCTCCAGCGGTTGATGTAGTCGATTGCTGGTTCATATTTCCATTGACGAGTATTGGTGAGTTCTGTCATACTGACGGTCCTTTTTGTGCTGTAGAACCGGTTCAAGAACTCGTACTCCAACTGCTCCCAACTGTCGATGGAACCAGCCTCCAGGTCGATATACCAGTCGAAGGCGTTGCCTTTTAATGACCGTACGAACTGCTTTACCAAGAGATCGCCGTATGTCCCAGCGTTGTTGCATGTTTCCATGAAGTGTGCCACATGCTGCTTTGGGTTGCCTTTGCCATCAAATTATTGAAACTTTGGTGGTTGATATCCCAACGGCATCTTGAGGGCGTCGATCCTTGAAGTGTAAGGCTTGACATACATATTTGTTGGCCTTGAACTTCCTTCAAACTCCCTTTTGAGAGCTCCTTTGATATACTCGTCAAGTTGGGATAGATGGATGAAAGAGTCAGATGATGCTTGAAACGGCATTGGTCCCGCCATTTTTTCTTTACCGTGGCGTTGATCCATTGATGTTTCTGCTTCATTTTGGGCCACCGAAGCATTCTGGTTGGTTGGTTCCGGCTTGTCCAATTTTGCAAGCAGTTTTGCGATGACATTGTCTTGTTGCTGCATGTGTTGAGACATCCCTTCAACAACTTTGGCCAGTGCAACAAGTTGGTCTTCTATGTTTGAAGCGTTTGTGGTCATCACCAGGGCATAACTCGATGCAGTCGAACGAGTTGCAACTTCTTGAGGGGTGCCCGGTGCGGAGGTACTCTTGAAGCTTTCATCCTCCTCATAGAGTGAGTTTTGCTCTGTGATTTTCGGATGTGCATCCTCGGAAAATGACAGTACTCTTTTAGCCATACTTCGTGTCATCACTCCAGCATTCATTGAAAGACTTGAGGTTCTTGATGTAGTAGCAGCGACTCCTTTGGCGGTGGCGGCTAGAGCAGCAGCTTTCAACACAACATTGGAAGTCTTGATTTTGTAGGAAGCCATTGATCGTTTGAGAATTCGACGGAAAGAGAGATGAAAGGTAGAGTCGTCCCACTGGGCGTACCAAAAATCTGTAGACAAAAAAAATTGTGTTATATTTTTATAAACACAAGATCGTATAAATTACATTTAATTTAAATATATGTGGGTCCTATTCTCTATTCGGATCCTTTGATTCTCTCTCCGGGTCGATCCATTTTTCCAATTTGGATTTGGGTGGCTTCTTTGATCCGAAGGGATTTTGGTCTTCGGTTTGACTTCGTCGGTTTTTAGGAAACTTTAGTATCCGTGTTGGTGATTTTGATCGTCGACTTTGGATTGATGCCTCCTTTGGATGATCCGACGGAATTTGATCTTTGAGGGAGGGATTTGGTGCTCCATAACGCTTTTGGCGGCGTGTCTCTTTGACTTTTGGATCGAAGAGGGCCTTGTTTGCGCCTTTTATGAAGAACGCGACGAACATCTTCAAGCTTTGGGAGCGACTTTGGAGGCTCTTCCTTGGCTTTGATGGATTCCTCGATGGCTTTGAGAGATTTGATCCTTCCTCCGGCTCGGACATACGACGAAGAACGTTAACTTCATCGATTCGTCAACCAATATTGGATCATTTGTCCAAATCGGTGACTTTTCAATGAAGAACGCTTCAAAGGACACGAAGAACAATGAAGAACATTGCAGAGAGTCTAGAGAGACTTACCCTTGCGCGAGTCTTCAAATGAACTTCGGTGTGTAAATGAATTGGCCAAGGCTCCTATTTATAGGGGAGGGTGGCCTTGGCTTCATTTTCGGATAGTGCCACGTGGATGGAAAGATTTTATAATCTTTCCTTTTCCATCGGATGCCGTTTTCCATTTTTTGACGGATTTGATTATGCACCTTCTTTTTTCGCCAAAATCTTTATATCATTGCCTTTTTTGGAAGATATTAATTTATATACTTCCTTTATTGACAAAATCTTTATATCATTGTCTTGTTTGGAAGATATTAATTTATATACTTCCTTTATTGACAAGATTAATTTATTTTGCTGCCAAATTTATTATGGCTCTATTTATGCACGTATTATTTGTACGATATCCTCCATTTTAAGCAGATTTTGCATTAATGGTTGACATTTATTGTACAAAAATTAACATATGTGCATAATTAAATACCATATATTTATTTTATTGGAATTTTATTTTTTTCCAAAATACATGATATTTAATTGATTTTAGACATATATTTTTAGTGTCTACAGTTAGCTGATTCAATTAGCTTGTTTAGCTGAATATATTAGCTGTTTTTGCTAAAGTATTTGGTAAAATAGCAGTTTTGTATTAGTTGTTTATATGTAAAATTTCAACTAAGGATATTTTATATTTTCTAAAAATATTTAGTTAAGCTTTCGGTGGGTAGGCTTTTTTACAATATTTGTTTTTATTATTTTTTTAATATTTTGTAAAAAAGTAATGTAATTTATTGAAAAATATATTTTTTCATTAAATATAGTATAAACGAAAAAATAAAAATTATTAGCATATGTATTTTTATTATAATACTTTTTAATTAATATTTATTTTTGTTAAACTTATAATTTTAAATAAATATATTTATTTTTAATAAAAATTTATGTGATAAAATATATATATATGAATTAATAATATTAATACTTTTTTCTATCTATATTTTAAAAAATTTACAAATTTTTATAAAAGTGCATTCATATGTTATTAGAAGAAAATATTCAAATATTTAATAAATAGTGTAATAAAAAATATATTAATATATATGAAAAAATTAATTAATTTTAAAGGAAAATATGGAATAAAAAAAATTTAATAAAAAAGGTAATCTAAAATATTGAGATATATACCGTGTTTCCAAAAACTATTTTTCAAACATAGTACGATTCATGGTTTTTATTTCATATACATATTTATCAATGTATTTTTAATCATTTATTTAAATTAACATATAATAATATCTTATATATTTGTTGATGTAATTTTTTCAACAAAAATAAAGTAAAATTCAAAGATATAGAAAATATCCTTAAACTTGATTAATTAGTGCCTGAGATTAGGAATCTCTAAACACTGTATGGTACAGAAAATAAACTGGAAAATAAAAGACTAAAATTTAAAGTGGTGATCCCCAAATCTGACTTTGCTTTGTTGAAGTTGATTGAAGATGCCTTGCCAAATGATTATCCAAGCCTTTAAATATTCTCTGGGAAACCGTACCGAAAACCGTCACCCGAACGGTTACAACGTCTCCTTCCCAACCGTCTTCCAACCCTTCTCCTGCTGACACGCGTCCTCAGCAGACCAAAATTATCCCTATATTTCACTCTTTGAGCCGACCACAGACCTTCCGCCCTTTAGGCCCGACTGCCAATCTACAATAGTATGGGTCCGACTGCCAACCCTCCCGACTTGCAAACCATCTGACTTGTTGGTTCTGCCGCAGAATTCCGACCTGAGAACTTCCCGACCTGAGGACCTCCCGACTTGCGGACTTCCCGTCCTGAAGGCCACCCGACCTGCAGACTTCCCGTCCCGAGGGCCTCCCGACCTGCGGACTTCCCGTCCTGATGACTTTCCGTCTTGATGACCTCCCGACCTGAAAACCTTCCGACTTGAGGTCTTTCCGTCTTGAGGACCTCCCGACCTGAAAACCTTCCGACTTGAGGTCTTTCCGACTTGAGGACCTCCCGACCTGAAAACCTTCCGACTTGAGGTCTTTCCGTCTTGAGGACCTCCCGACCTGAAAACCTTCCGATTTGAGGTCTTTCCATCTTGAGGACCTTCCGACCTGAAAACCTTCCGACTTGAGGTCTTTCCGTCTTGAGGACCTACCGACCTGAGGTCCTTCCGTCATGATGACTTTCCGTCTTGAGGACCTCCCGACCTGAAGACCTTCCGACCTGAGGTCTTTCCGTCTTGAGGACCTCCCGACCTGAAGACCTTCCGACCTGAGGTCTTTCCGTCTTGAGGACCTACCGACCTGAAGACCTTCCGACCTGAAGTCTTTCCGTCTTGAGGACCTACCGACCTGAGATCCTTCCGTCCTGAGGACTTTCCTTAGAAATAAACCTATTTTCCTTGATTTCCTCATGGTGTCCTTCAGTCAGTTCAATCAACTCTATTGCCAGGCCCATTCTTCTTTTTACCTTGGGCTTTTAACCTAATTCTAAATTTCGTACATAACAATATTATTAGTAATGATAAAATAGCCCCTCTTAATGGAATGATCAACAAAGGGTTAAGATTTTTCTATTACTTTATACACTTTAAAAACTATCAAAACATTGAAAAAAACACTTTACCCATGTTATTTATGAAATCACAAATGATAAAATATTACAAGAACAACGATTCAAAAAACCCAGTCACGTATATTACCTAATATTTGATTTTCGAACAGTTATAAGTATACCACCTCGTTGTTCAATAACGTAATTCTACAAATGAATATAGACGAAATAAGTATTATTCAATCATGAGACACTCAATTTGAGAAAACCTATTGGTACAAACCTATGCACCTTATTTACCTAAGAAAATTAGGAATACAAACTCACAATTTACCCTTTAATTTCTACATGAAGATCATCCAACAACTAAGAACACTAAAAACCTAAAAATCAATTTTCATAGTTATACAATAAAACTCCTAGGTTTTTAATTACCCTTCGATATCGTGAGAATAACATCGTGGGCAGGAAGACTCACACCACCAATAACTAGGAGAAGCACAAGCTTTGACCAGCGACGGTAGAGCAGAGGGCGGAGTATAACGTCGACGAGCTTAGCTGTGAGTATAGGGAGTCGCTGGGAATTTTGTTAAAGTGTTGAGCCACTCTTTTAAAATTTTATTATTTTTAATATATATATTTTTAAACTTATTTAATATATATTTATTTTAATTTTTATTTATAATTATAATATTGACTTTTTGTTACCGTTTTGCATATGTAATAAATGTATATAAAACCATATCTTGTCACATTTATAGTTGTTGCGGATAATTTGTCGAAACAAATAAAAAAAAGGTTGACCAATACAAAAAAATTTGTTCCAACAAAAAGCGTAACAAAACCCACTTTTTGTAAAAGACCAGTTGTTACGAACAGTATAACAACTACAAATACTGGATCTTTTGGTAGTGTACCTCCACCCGTGTGCAATTGCGATTAGAAGAATCTAGAATAGAGTGACATAAATAAATAAATATTATAAATCGTGAAAAAAATATAAAATATATAGAAACTTCTTTTCAACGTTATAAACATACATAAATCGGGAAGGATAAGGGGAACCATAATAGAGTAAGAGAATGAAAGTGATGATTAGGGTTCTGTTCTTTCTTCTTCGCATAAATCTCTCCGCCCCTACTTCTTTTTCACACACTCTCTCCCGATTAGGGTTATCTATTTGAATTTTGCTGATTTCATTTTCAATGTGGTCATGAATAGTTGATTTTCTTGTTTTTATTTTATTTTTTTTGTTTTTGATGCTTTTGTTGGAGAGATGAAATAAGAGAAGTTGAATTAGGATTCTGCTGGAGATTGGAAATATATCTTGACTTTGGAGCATATTTCTTCATTTGTCTTGAGTGGACTGATCTTGATTTTGGGTATGAAGGAAATATTTCAACGAATATTTAAAGCATTGACTGGATTGGACGGTAAGTCTAAACTTTTTGTGTTGCAAAATTCAGACGAGGTTGTGATCATGCAAGATCTTAACAAGGACAGAAAAGATAATCTGACTCGTGTTAATCTGAATGCTGGGGATCTCTATCAGTATTTTACTCTGAAGAGTGCATTGGTTTCAAGTGGCTCCGAAAGTGCAGGAAAAAAAGGAGATCGTTGAGGCTGAGACTCGAACAGTGAAGCAGCGTCTTGGGTTCCCCATATTTAAAACGGTTGTTCCAGAAATCAAGCTGTCATCCATTGCTTCGACTTCAGAAAACTTTGATTCCCAGCCTAAAGGGAAGAATGCTGACATTGAAAGATTGGAGAGAATGATCGACATAAACATAGCCTGCGAACCAGATCAGGTTTCTGCTGACGAACTGAATGTCGGTAATCTGGAGAAATAAGATCAGGGTGCCTGTGTCCGCGCGAGTCTTCATTGATTAGAACTCCTCTGCTAATGATTGCAAAGATCTTCAGGTAGCAGAGTCTAGTAGAGAAAGGGTCAGTGTTAAGGCGCCGTTGGATATAGACCTCGAAGCTCCAGCGTCCATGGAGAGTGACGACGATGACGATAACCGATTCATCGAACGGAATATTCCATATGACTTACAGGTGCCATCTTTAAAAACTGAAAAGGCACAAACAAGGGATGAGATTTCTACTAATGCAGCAGAAATGTTAGTTGTGATGTGGTCGCGGTGTCCGTAAATCTAACCAGAACAAACGCAAAAACCTCAATGAAAATCAACTGTCTTTTGAAAAAATAAAAATGATCCATAATGGCAATGTACTCTTTGTAATTGCTAGTATTGAGCGAATAATGTGAGGACAAAGTTGTAAGATCATGTTTGAGGGATGATCCTGCTCGAGTATGTTTGCAAGTTAGACAATTACAATTTCGTCAGAAACATATATCTTTTGGCAAGGGGTTGTTACCTGTTTAAGTTTGATGATTACTATGATGCTTTCTCCATAATTTGGTTGTTCGAATGATGAAAATTTTGGGGAAAATTGCATTACAAATTATACTTGTTTAAATTTAATATTATGTGTATACTCTCTAGATTCTAATATGGTGCATGACTCAGTTATAATTCATTGACGGTTTGAATTTAGATAAAAAATTCTTTTCGAGAACCAGTGACTCCATTATAAATGATTGGCTGCGTTTGAAAGTTTTCCACTAATGTCGTTTTCTGCTTGGAAAGTAATGCTTTTTGTTTTTGTGCAATTTGTTAATTATTTCTTTAATGATGCAAATAGTGTAATCGCTACATGCAAAATCAGCATATTTACGAGAGCTCAACAGTTGAAAATAGTCCTTTGCCTTTCCAATACATACAAAGCAACATAGCAATGAAATTTCTATCATGCATGATTGATAGTTCTCTGTAATGAAATTTCCTGGCATTGCTAATGTTTAAAACTGACATGGGTGTTAAAATTTCTGCATACCTGCGAAAATTCTTCGTCGACTTATTGGTTCAATTAGCTATGATTTTATATCGTTTCTCATGAGAAAGATTGATAAAACCTTCAGGCTAGGATTCTATCATTATGATTGGGGATCATCAAGCTTATTTTGATATTAAAAGAACAACTACTTTAGGTGAGTCATGGTGATCCCTTTTTCATTTCGTAGAAAGAAATATCAATATCATCTATTGGAATATTTCCATTGCTTATACCATTCTAAGATTCTGAAATATAATAAATATTGTTTCAATTTCTGATCAAGGAGATTAGTATACTAATCTTTTCATGTCACTGCAATTGAAAATACATGCAGATGTCAGGCTTCTTTGGTGTAATTTTTTCTCTTATCGCATCAGATGTGATACATTTTTAACAGTTGTATGTAATGGTTTTCATTTTGATTGTATGATGTATTTTTGCACGATTAGAGTGGGAGAAGTTGATTTATTCCTGCATGTGTAGGGTTGCGCAACAAAACTTCACTAGTGGTGGTCGAAGATCAGAACTGCATATGAGTGAATGTGTGTATCACCCTGCGGCGCCCCTCCCTATCCAACCTTATATATTGAAGGTTAAAACCAGATCAATGGCCCAGATGTAATCCCTAGATCGGACGGTAATGGAGGCATCTCAGATAAATGATGCGGGTCAAAGACCGGGTCCCGAGTTGGCGGGTCTGGGGCGAAGGGCTAAGTAAAGAATCGGGCCAAGATTCAAATTGGGCCACAGATTGAAGGTTTGTGTGTATTTAGTGTGTGGATAACAATATTGGTCTCAACATAAATCTCATTGACCAAAATTTTATAACATGTACTATTTGAAAGTATTGAATTGGAATATTAGGTAAATTATTTCTGAAGAAAATATAGATACAAAATGCATAGAAAAATCTAGAAAAAATTGACATAAATAAATAAAAAATATTATAAAACATTAAAAAAATATAAAATATCTAGAAACTGTTGGAATTGGAATAATTCAAACAACAATTGCAAAGAAAAAGTAGAATCATAAGGTTTTTCTTATTATTTTGTACACTGTACTACCACTCAAATAAAATATAAATACCAAAGAATAGAGGAGAAACTGACACCTTTACAAACCGACACATGATAATAATAATAATAATAATAATAATAATAATAATAATAATAATAATAAACACTTTGAATCAGGATTAATAATTTTTAACACTCACCCTTATTCAAAGTTGGTAACATAAAGGCGTGCGCGAAGTTCTTCGAATCTTGCAGCAGGCAATGGTTTTGTGAAAGATTGGCAAGTTGGGCTGTTGCACAATATAAGATGCACACTTCCTGCAGTTACCAAATAACGAATGAAGTGATGCTTTCTTTCTATATGCTTTGTCCGGCAATGCATTATTGGATTTTTGTCAATTGCCACAGCTGATGAACTATCACAATATATCACAATTGGTTCTTTCTGCACTTGATTTAGATCTTCAAGGATTCTTCTTAACCAGACGCATGCAGCAGTTGCAGCGGCTACATACTCGGCCTCTGCAGATGACAAGGCAACAGTTGATTGTTTTTTAGAAAGCCATGACACTGGACCTGCTCCGAAACTGAAACAATTTCTGGAGGTACTTTTCCTGTCATCGGGGAATCCTGCCCAATCACTATCGGTGAATCCTTCAAGAATGAAATCCTTACTTTGTGTATACCATATCCCATAGTCCCGTGTACCAGCAAGATAATGTAAGATCCGTTTTGCTGCACCGTAGTGTTGTTTGCTTGGACGATGCATAAATCTGGAAACTAATCCAACTGGAAATGCAATGTCAAGTCGCGTGTGGGTTAAATTAATTAACCTTCCTACTGTCACGGACCGCCTGGTTGTTCCTCGAACACCTTCCGTGCGGCCTAGCAACTTCCCGACACTTAGAGGTTGCTAGTACAGCCTTTCTTCGGACACTTCTAAGAACACTCAAGAACACGATCAAGAACACTCGATAATCGTAGAGAGAGGAAGTAGTAAGGGAAAGTAGA